CCTTCAGACAGGCCTATTCCACCTGGTGGGAGAAAATAGTCGCCTGGACACCCCAACCTTACATCTGTCTGGTTTGGGCTCCCCTAAAGAAAGCAGACTCCAAGGAAAGAGTTTGGGTGCAGTGCTCTACTTGGGAGACGATCTCAAGAGGCATGAGGGGGTCGGAAAGTAAGACAGGAAGGAGAGGAAGCCCCCAAATGGGTGTGTGAAGGAGCAGGTCACAGCTGGAGCCACTAGAGCACCATTCCACTGGGATGCCTCGGAAAGAATGTGCAAGGAGGCTGGAGTATTTACCTTCCAGCCCCTCACCTGAGAGTTGCTCTGTGGGTGATTGCTCTCCAATAGGCCTAGCATACTCCTCAAGCCAGAGAACAGCCTTATCCAGAGAAACACAGGACCCTCAGCCTATGTACAGAAACTGTTTTCGGGTGAGCTCAAGGGTGGACCAATGAGGTGTGCTGTAAGATCCACTACAAATCCAGCACCAGCTCAGCCTATGAGGGACCCTGACCCAGCAGACTTAGATCAAGTGTCCATCGTGGACCAATCACAGTCCAGGGAACAGAAGGCTACTTGCTAGGAAGGGAAGTAGGTTTACCTGTTGAAATAGAAAGGGTTCCCTAATCCTTTCCTCCACCTTCTTCAGGGCTTCAGTAACTAAAACCCATGCTCACTACAGAAGTACTGAGTCGTAAGAAGAAAGGCACTGGTGGACGCAAAACTGCCTGCTTCTCCAGTTTGCACCAACTTGATCCCCCCCCTGCAGAAAGAAAACAGTCATTATCAAAAAGCCAATTGTCATTCTGCCTCTTTAGCAAAAATTCCCATTAAAGATAAAGCAAATTTTAATTAGATTAAGTATCCAATTACTGTAATTACATTTTTTAAAAATTCACATCATGGAGATGACCCTTTTAAAAAGGGTTACAGGAATAATTAGTGTATTCATATTAACCAGAATGTATTGGATAATATTTATACCCAGAAGACAAAGTACATTACACACATTTCACCTTTGGGGAAAGCTTGCAAATGTTGTGGCAGTGGCATGAATATTTATAGGCAAGAGTGTGCTTTTGCAAGATTATGTGAGGAAGCATTTAAATGCTCAACAATTTCTACCCAGGGGCAAAGTATACAGAAAATGTAGCACAGGGATTATGGATATGCAAAGCGTGACTTAAGAGGGGAATTTCTATCAGTTTGCTTAATTAATTGGAGCCAAAGACTATTTCTTCTCATTCAAGGCAGAAAGGACCAAGGTATCCAACTGTGACTTCTCTCTGCTCAGCTTCGGCCAGGGGTGGGGCCAGTGTGGGGAGTTAGTAGGAAAGCCTGGGGACCTTCTCTCCTGGGAGCTTGGGTCCTCCTGTGTCTTTATCCATCCAGGCTTACCTGGATAGGCTTTAGGGGAGGAATATGGGCCTTGTAGAGACTTCCTCCCAATAGATTTTTCTCTGACATTGTCTTCCCCTCTCTCGTTCCCATTTTCTTCCTTCCAACCTGCCTTTGAGCTACAGCTACTGCCGCAGTGATGGTCTCACACGCGATTGCCTTCCAGGCTCCATCACACTTGCCACCTCGGGGGAGAGGAGCCGCACAGACTCCATTTCGCAGATGAGTACACAGGGGCTCCAAAGCTTGGAACAATTCCAACAACCACACCACGGAGCTGGCCTCCTGAGGGAGCTAGCTCTGCTTCGCTGACCCCAGACCTGTGTGGCCTCCACTCTGCCTGTCGGGAGGCAGCTTGTGGCCACTGCCTACCTCAGGCATATCTGTCCTCTGCTGCCATCTATGCTGGTCAAAACTGGCAGCCCAGCCATTGTTGTTCCCTCTCAGAGATCATTTCCAAACCAGAGTCAGCCATGGGTGTGTATTTGGGGGATGGGGCGAAGGGGAGGAAGGGGGGAGCAATGGATCTGCACCCTAGTGGCAAGGGGAACTCTAGTTTGTTGGATTATACGTTGAGAACATGAGGATCTCCAGGTGGATAGCATCAGACAAAAAAAAAAAGTGTTACAAAGATTTTGGACATCCACAACTGACAGGTGTTTATCATAGACTTATCCCTGAGAAGAGCTCTACCCATCTTTCAAGGGCCAAATCCAGCATACCCTGCTGTGGGCATCCTGTTGCTCTTCTACCTTCCTTCTTTAGCCTCTTCTTTCTGGGCTTCCATGTTACAGGCCTTGCTCCCTTTTGCTCAAGTCTCATTTCCTTGCTAACCACCCCCATTTCCTGCCTATAGTAAGGGTTCAGGACTCCCTACAATGGGACCTACTCTGTGGTTCCTTATGGATTCTTCTTTAAAATTGTTTTCAGAGAGAGAGATACATCCCTGGAATCTTCTCTGGGATGGAAAAGCCTCATTCATGGGGGAATTCCATTTTTAGAAATAGCCAAAGTTACTGGACTAGTCAGAGTTTTTCAGAGAAATAAAAAAATTGTGTGTGTGGAGAGAGAGTGGAGAGAGAGTGGAGAGAGAGAGAAAGAGAGAGAGAGAGAGAGAGAGAGAGAGAGAGAGAGAGAGAGAGAGAGAGAGTTTAAGGAATTGGGAATAGACTCATGTGGTTATAGAGGCTGGGCAAGTCTAAAATCCTCAGGGTGGGCTGGCAGGCTAGAGACCCAGGAAGAGTCAATGATCTCTTACTCAGGGAGATCAGTCTTTTGGTCTATTCAGATCTTCAACTGGTTGGGTAAGGCCCATCCCCATTATGGAGGACAATGTTCTTTACTCAAATTATGTTTCCATCTCTCCCTCTCCATTCCTCTCTGAAATCAATAAAAAAATATATTCTCTCTCTCTCTCTCTCTCTCTCTCTCTCTCTCTCTCTCTCTCTCTCTCTCTCTTTCACACACACACACACACACACACACACACACACACACGAGGAGGGAAGGGAACCAGGTGAGTATCCTGAGAGAGAAATAAGCAGAGCCCCTGCTGGTCCAGAGAGGAGAGCATGATTTGAGGCAGGAGGATACATTATGCAGATCCTCAAAGGGGACCCCAATGAGTTGGGACTTTATATGGCAGCCAAGAGGTGGTCACTGAAGGCTTCAGCAGAGTAGGGTCCAGAGCTTAGACTTCGGGTTATTAGTTTGTCTGTTCCTGTATCTTCCAATCTTCCAGTGACTCCTCGTTCATTCACGATTTTAACACCTGGTCTCTATCTTCTTTTCTGTCACGTTTCTGTCCTCATACTTGGGAACTTCAACATAATGATGTAACATAGGTTTCCACTGAGGCTCTTGCCATTTTTCAGTATCTTCTCCCAACCTTCATTACTGTTGATGGGCAAATGACTTCCATTTGTTTCCAGCCCAAACATCTTTTCTGAGCTTCAGACCCATACATCCAACTGGCTAGCCCCAGTTTCATATTTCATGGAAACTCAAACACAACTAGTCAAAATCTGAACTCATCATCTTTCTCACAAACTTGATTCTTCTGTTCTCAAAGTCTTGTAATATGGAATTAGTGTTTAACCAGTCGTTCAGCCATGCCAGAATTGGGGCGGGGGGAAATCATCCTAGATTCCTCTTAGAACTCATATTCCATTAGTCACTACTTCCCTAACCTGCACATGTTGTCTGTGAGTCAAAGCTTCTCTGGTTCCAGGAAGTAAACTGACAGTTAAGTTCTAAAGTAAGTACAACTGAGTCTAAATAACAGCTTCCAATTTATACTGCATAATTGTTGTCAAGTTACTTAAGTTTTCTGTTCTTTAGTTCTCTCATCTGTAAAATGGGTATTGCTTGCTCCATAACATTGTTAGAAGAATCAATTGTTTTGATATGTAAAATACTTGGAGCATAGTAAGTACTCAACAACATTTAATGATGTTGGTAATATCAATGATGATGATGCTGGAACAAGACCAGTAGGGGTAACCACCTGGTTGCAATAATTGAGGAATAAGATGCGGAGATTATCAATGGATTCTTAACCAGACTTTCATCCAATCTTTCTTTAGTCACCCCCCACTCCACAACTCTGCCTTTAAAGGAACTCAGTGCCTCCAATTCCTAAGACTTTTTAGGTCCTGAGGGGCAAATTAGTTTGCTTCTTGGAGGCTTTCTCTCTGAAAGACTTCACTTTAATGAATAGAGTCCAAAATATTCCCTGTATTTTCTTGTTGAGGTGCCTATGTGCCCCATTATGAAACCCATCTTCCTCATCAGTCCCTGTGGTACCATTTCAGGGTTTGAGAAGCAGTAAGATCTAAAAGAATGTTTATTAAATAGATCAATACAGACAGTAAGAAAGAATTTTGGGGATACAGAGGAAGGAGAGGCTGACTAGAAAGGTTATACGAGGGTAGTATATTTCAACTGTTCTTTGGAGTTTTTAAGGGAACCGGTTAAGCAAAGTAAGGAAATGCTGGGAATACAGCAAATGATCTAGTTTGAAGGAACCCTGGTAAGACAAGATCTGCTGGGCTTTGAGGTCTTGGAAAGGAGTTTGACAGTTGTTCTGAGGAGAAAGAGGAGTTGCTGAGGCATTTTAATCTGGGGAGAGAGATCATTAGACCTGCATTTTAGCATCACCCTGCTTTGGCCTCAGATGGAGAAAGGATGCGAAGGGCATGGGGATGGGGGACTGGAAGATTGTCAGATTGTTGAAGTAATGAGGAAATGGCTGGTGCGGACTGGGGTGGGGAGTGAGCAATGGTGGTCAGCAGGAATGTAGAGGAGGGCACGCAGTGTGGGTTATTCAGGCAGCAGGATGCACAGGCAGGATGCACAGGTGCAGGCCGGGAGATAGGGGCAGGAGGAGTTCCTCATTGGCTGGGCGTGCGCGGTGCCGCTCAGTGAAACCTCGCGGGAGGAGCGGGTCAGCCGGCTCCGCGGCGTGGGTGGTGCGGGCGCCGAACGCACGTGTCCCTCGCGCGTCGCCGTCGGCGTAGCCCGTGGTTCGCTCGGAGGAGGCCGCCCGCAGGGGCCGCGATTCCGCTTCCGGTTCGCGTCCGCACTTGCGGCGAGGGCGAGCGGCCATGGCGTACTCCACGCTGCAGAGGGTGGCCCTGGCCTCGGGGGTCGTCCTGGCCGTGTCGCTGCTGCTGCCCAAGGTCTTCCTGTCCCGCGGAAAGCGACAGGAGCCGGCGCCGGCGCCCGGAGGTAAGCGCGGGCCGCTCCCCAGAGGCGCCCGGCATCCCCGTTACCTGGAGGGATGGGGTGAGGCCGAGTCTCCGGTCCTCACCTGCACAGCCGCAAATCCGGCTGGGGAAGGCAGACCTGCGGCGTTTGGGGGGTGCCAAGCCCCACAGTGTCCTTGGCGTTAGTGGGCAGGGGCCCCCCTCGCCCCACTCCCCTGCGCCCTGTGCCCCCGACGCTCCCTCCTGGGCCAGGACTGCGCGCTCTCGCCTGTCGCCCCTAAGGGGCTGGCACGCCCGCCGCTCGCCTCCCCTTCTCACTCTGTTAGCTCATCTCAGGCAGGCTGGAGGGCTCCTGCTTGGGATCCCTGTGTGGGAGGTTTCCCTGTGCTCTCTGTGGTGCTTTTGTGTGTAATAAAGTCCGTTGGAATTGGTGTTGTTCACCTTAACTCCTTGTGTGGTTTTAATTGGATGTTGCGGTGCTCACAGCTTCGGGCTTTGTGGGTGTATGTGTGTGCCTTTTAAAATATACAGGCATACCTTGCAGATATTGTGGGTCCGCTTCCAGACCACCCCAATAAAGAAAAAGCGAGTGTCGCAGGACACTGGTTGTGGTTTTTTTGCTGGTGGAAGGTCTTGCCTTCAGTTTGTTTAAAAAAAAGAAAGAAAGAAAGAAAGAAAGCAAGCAAGCAAGCAACACCTGGGAAGATCGATAAAGCGAGGTATGCTCGTGACTTGATTTTAATCCAAGTGTTAGTTTCTGAAGCGAACAAGTCATGAAGGTTCCTTTTCTTAAGCAATTTGTTGACTCCTTGCTAGTGACATGATGTCGATGGCATCATGTTTAAAAAAGCCATCTTGTTGGTTGCACTCCGGGGCTTTTACGTAATGAATGAGTAAAGGTGAATACGCAAAGGTGAATGCCTAAAGCTGGGAGAAGGAAACAGGTGATGAGGTGCTACTGTAACTGTCTCCTGTACATTATCTCTGCAACATCCTTAAGGCGTGGTATTATGGTCTCCAAACACTTCCACTAATGCTCAGCCTGTTGGTTATTGGACAGCTCCCTTTAAACTGGAATCCATTTCCCTCTAGTAACTAGAGTTTAGTCGGTGCAATTAAGATTATTTTTATTATTATGAATGATGCTGCTGTTAATGTTTGTGTACATATATGTTTTCATTTCTCTTGAGAATCAAATGTGAACATTTTAATGTGGCTGGAACTAACTGGAATTTCAGGGTCATGTGATTTATTACTTTCTGTTTGAAGAAGTGCTAGACTATTTTCCAAAGTGGATGCACTGTTTTATATTCCCACCAGCAATGTATGAGGGTTCCAATTTCTCCACATCTTGCCTACATTTGTTATTGTTTGTCCTTTTGATTATAGTCATCTTAGTGGGCGAGAAGAGGTATCTCCTTGTGGTTTTATTTGCATTTCTCTGATATTGAGCCTTTTTCATGTGTTGATTGGCTATTTATATATTTTTGGAGAAAATTCTATTCAGATCTTTTGCCCATTTTTAAATTGAGTTACTTTTTTTATTATTGAGTTTTAGAAGTTCCTTTTATACTAGATACAAGTCCACTATCAAATACATGATTAGCAATTATTTTTCCTATTGAGTGGATTGCTTTCATTTTCTTGATGGTGTACTTTTAGGGAGAAAAGTTTTTAATTTTGGTGCAGTCCAGTTTATTTTTTATTTTGTTGCTTCTTCTTTTGGCTCAAAATTAATCATTGCCAAATCCAAGATCATGAAGATTTATGCCTTTGCTTTCAAGTTTTATAGTATTTGCACTTACATTTAAGTCCTTGATCCATTTTGAGTTAATTTTTGTATACAATGTTAAGTAGAAGTCCAGTTACATGTGAATATGCAGTTAGTTGTCTCAGCAAAACTATTCTTTTTACATTGAATGGCTTTGACAACCTTGTCTAAATTCAGTTGAATATAAATGAGAGAGTTTATTCTTGGAATTTCAGTTCTGTTCCATTGATATACATATATTGAAGATATATACAGAGTATGGCAAAGTAGGTTTACATTGATTATATGGAAAATATACAATAATTAATAAATAATAATCCTATATAATAAAAGGGCAATATGCAAAATGACCTTAATGGCAGAATGACCACTGGACAAGTCACTATGAGGATCACTGACCACCTCTCGGTCCCTTTCCCTAGTCAGCAGGCTCCAATCACCTGATGGTGAATGGGGTACTCAGGTTGGCTGTTGGGGGACACGGATGGCACCAGGCCAACGCCCCTGCTCCATGGTCACCCCACACACAGAGTGACTTGCAGCAGGGACGGGGCCCGCAAATGGGTGGGAACAGCCGACCTCTCGGTCCCTTCCCCTGGCTGTCAGGCACCAATCACCTGATAGCCAGTGAGGAACCAGGTGTGGGTGGTGGCAGGGGGTGGGACCAACTTCCGGCAGCCAGGAAAAATGGCCCTGATCCCAGGCCAGGCCTAGGGACTGTACCCGCATATGAATTTTGTGTGCCTGGCCTCTAATAAAAGAAGAAACTCTGTTTCACCTACTTACAACTGTACCCCTACTTTATGCCCCATTCTGAGTGTGTGTGTGTGTGTGTGTGTGTGTATGCAGTACCACAGTCTTAATTACTGTAACATTGTAGTAAGTTTTGAAATTGTGAATTCAACTTTGTTTTCTTTCAAGATTGATTTCTGACACCTAAGACCCATCATTTCCATATAAATTTTAGAATCAGCTTGTCAATTTTTGCAAAAAAAAAGAAAGAAAAAGAAAATCCAGCTTGGATTTTACTAGATTGTATTGAATCTATAGATCAATTAGAAGAGTACTGCCATCTTAACAATATTAAGGCTTTCAATTTATGAGCAAAACATTTTTATAAGTTTTTTTTTAAATATATTTTTATTGATTTTTCACAGAAAGGAAGGGAGAAAGATAGAGATCTAGAAGCATCGATGAGAGAGACACATCGACCAGCTGTCTCCTGCACACCCCCCACCGGGGATGTGCCCGCAACCAATGTACATGCCCCTTACTGGAATCGAACCTGGGACTCTTCAGTCCACAGACCGACGCTCTATCCACTGAGCCAAACCAGTTTCCGCGAAAATATTTTTTTTTTATTGAAGTCTTAAGTTGCTTTCAAAGAAGTTTGTAATTTTCAGTGTTCAAATCTTATTTTGTTAAATATATTTCTAAGTATTCTTTTTGTGTTATAGATTGAATTAATTTTATTTTAGATTGTTTGCTAGTGTATAGAAATACAATTATTTTTTGTGTATTAATACTGTATCCTGCTACCTTGCTGAATTATTTGCTCTAAAACACAATCATGTCATCTGCAAATAGATATAGTTTTACTTTTCTTCCCAATCTGAATGCCTTTTATTTCTTTCTCTTGTTTAACTGCCCAGGCTAGATCCTCTCTAGTACAATGTTGAATAGAAGTGCTGTGGGCTTTTTATGGATGCCCTTTATCAGATTGAAGAAGTTCCCTTTGATTTATAGTTTGTTGAGTGTTTTTATTATGAAGGGATGTTGAATTATATAAATGCTTTTTCTAGGTCAACTGAGATAATGGGGTTTTTGTCCTTCATTCTGTTGATATAACGTATTACATGATTTATTTTTGGATATTAAGTCAACTTTGCATTCTTTGTCTAAGTTGAGGTGCTATCTCTTAAAGTGTTTTGTGTTTTTTTTTAATCACCCAGAGTAAGAAGGGCATTCTAATCAGAGGGAACATGAGAAAAAAAATCCAGAACCCTGAATTAGCTTTAGAATTGTAAGAGATGAGAGAGAGAAATTGGAAGGGCCAAACTGAAGTTTGTTTTTTTCTGCCATACTTTAGGAGTTTATATTTTACTCTGGAGGTGGAGGAGGCCATTGTAAGTTTGCTACTAAGTAGGAGACATCTAGTCTGGTTTTGGAAAAGTGCCCTGGCAGCAGCATAGAGGCTGCATTGTGAGGATCTCTTCAGGGAGAGGGTTGTTGCAGGATTCCAGTGGAGACATCATGAGCTTCATTAAGCTGGTCAGTTAGGATACTCATGACAGCTGATAGAAAATTCAGCTTGAACTTTATAATCCAATATAATAAAAGGGTAATATGTACTCTTAAAACAGAAAGGGAATTTATTGTCTTATAAATGAGAAGACTCTGTGTTAAAACTGGCCTCCAGTGCTGTTTGATCCAGAGAGTCACAATCTCACCATGGCTGCAGCTCTGATTTTTCTGTGTCCTTTTAATTCTGGGCTACTTCTGAAGTTGGTTCTATCCTCTGACTGTTCTCTCAGGATAGCGACAGTGGTTGCCACTGTTCCAGCTACCACTCTGTCTATTCAGGGAAAGAGTGTGTCTTCTCTTTTAAATTCTTCCTTCAGTCCCACCTCACTCTTACTCTCCAGTAGTTCCAACTAACTTATCCACCCATTTTGATGGCTTGAATTAAGTTATTTGCAATGTTTGGGTGGGAAGATATGCTGATTAACAGGTCTGAAGTTGAGAGTGTTTGCCAAAGGGAAATTAAGGGTATGAGAGGAAGAGGAGTAAATAGAACAGGGGAGGCTATCAGTAGTGGGTAGGAGAACAATAATAAAATGCATTTTTAAATAGGAGTGGAAGGTGAGGGAGAAGACGGTATCTTGGATTATTCTCAAGTCATTGTTTAGGTGAATAAATAGATAGTGATGAAGGAAAATATAGATTTGAAGGAAAAGTGGATTTGAGGGGAAAGATGGTGAGTTCAGGAAAATGAGGACTAGTATCATGTCCCCTTCTTTAGTCTGTTTTCTTACTTTGACATCTCAAGCTCCCTCTTCCATTCCTCATGTGACATATATGATGACATAGTTGCAAGTATCTCAACATCACCTCTTAGAAAGTAAATAATAGCCTGTGTAAACCAATTAGCTCATGGAAGAGCAGCCTATTGCCTCTTTTTAAAATCCTATACATAATGCATCCTGGGGGATTGCTTTAGACTTTTGGCATTTTTACTTGCTGATCTTGCT